CTATAAAAACGATTGTATTTTACGGTTCTATCTCTCCCCTCAACCCTTCGATGTTAATAGAAATATTTTATTTATATATACTTGAACGAATTTGAACCATCGCATTTGAAAAAACCATTAGAAAGCTCAATTTCAGGGAAATAAATGAAAGATTTCAAAATTTTCAACAATCATCATAAAAATCAAATAAACCAATATAGCTGTCGTAATCATCTTGTAATTACGACTTAGTGGCATTGAAACAAAATTTTTAAGCTATGATTGAATTCATTTTAAACATGATATTCAAAGATATCCCCGGAATTTTGATTTTCAAAAAATCAAAACAACGATTATTGCTATCGCCTCCACCTTCGAACTCAGTCAGAAGAACATCCAAACAAATTTTTTCATTCTATAAACAAAATGTTGATCTCTCGAAAATTATTAGTCGAACACTGTCGGTATCTTTTCGTAATTCCATGGGAAATATAGTAATAATTCATATGATAGTGACATTGATTCCAATTTAGGGGAAAAATGGATATCAAATTTTAAGTTTTAGTTAGAATACAAGGAAATCCATCAGTTTTCAGTGGGAGTGAGACGAAAGTTTTACAGCTTGATTGAATTTTCCAAGGAATATGAATATTCAGAAACAAAATCATATAATTTTTTAATTTTTCTCCCAATTTTCTTGATTTTTTCCGATTTTTTTTACGGAATAATTGAATTGAAAAATAAAGTATTTGATTGATTTTGATATCACTCGGACAGAAAATCAGTGGAATTTTTGAGTTTTAAATGAAAAGATTTTCTGAAATTTCAGTGGAAATTAAACATGATGAAAATTTCCGGCATTTCACATATAGGTTCGCTCCAAAAATGTAAGGATCTCTCTCTCATGCACGAATTCGTATGTCGCTAGCTCTGTCGCTCCCACACGAACAAGACCGAAGACAAGTGGACAATTATAATAATTAAGAATACAAAAAATATACTATTGTTCGCAAAGTTCATGATTATAAAACATTCTTCGTGCAGAATACAATTAAAAAAGTGCAATTTTTCGATTGACAATTGTGTTGTTGGAGTGAAAAGGGGGATTCTTCATTTTTAATGAAAAATATAATTAAAAAGGACCTAAAAAATGAAAAAAAAATCACAGGGCATGAGAACTGCGGAAAAGTTGATTTCAAAAAAATCATCATAATTCAGATTTTTGGTCAAGTTACACGCATTTGCTTATAGCGCGGCGTCCGCATCGGCGCGCGCTCCAATCAACAAATGTTCATATATCGAAAACTATTAGTCATAGAGACCTAAATCAAAAATCATTCTGTTCTCTATGAAATTATCCAACTTTTATTCACTGCACGTCCCGATAACTTCTCAATAATTTTCGAGATATTTTAACTGAGAATGGCCTAGCCAAGGGGTATTTTTTTAATAAATAAAAAGTGTCCTGGCTTTAGAACACATTTTTTTCCTATGCTGTCCCGAGAATGTAAACAAAAAATTTCAAATTGGTTCACTATTCTCCAAAGTGAAAACAAACCCTATTTTTGTCTATTTTTGGAACTCGCCTTTGGCTCGTCTGGTAACCTCTTATTCGCCAGAAAAGTTCCTCACGGCCTAATTTCGAAATATACTGTATTTGGTAGTCGTCCTTGTATTTCTTTACCATAATAAACATCTGCAAGATTGTGAAATTTCTTCTATTCCTTTCAACAGAATTCATGCGAAATTGAATGAAATCATAATTTGTTCATCCAATTATTCTTCCAATACACTTGGAAAAATTACTTGTCACAGGAAGAAAATGAATAGCCGAATTTCACACTTAGAATCCTCAAATAACTATGTGTAACATGATTTGGAATTTGGTTCTCTTCAATCTGGCACTCGTGGAAATTTGATTTCTTCTATCCTTGCCGTGCCTTCTTATCCCTGCATCCTTGCCTTCAAATAGAATCTAGGAATTTGAAACAAAAATTCCAATATCTACATAAATTTATGGATCGTCGAATTCGGAAATCCTCTAAAACAATTAAATTGAATATTTAGAGTTGTGTGAGAAAAACGTGAGAAAACCTGAGAAATAAATAATGGAAAGGTGGAGAAGTCCAAGCAACAAGACGGAAAAATTCAATTAATGGTATGAAGAAAGTGAAAAAAAAGAGGAAACAAAAATATCTCAAAGGAACTTCAACGACAAGTCAGGGACGAAAAATTCAAAGAGACACAAATGAATAATTAATATTCTGGTTCATCTCCATTGCTGTTAAATATTCACAAAGTATCAAGGGAAGGTGGAGAAAATGAAAACAACATTTATCAAATTGTCATTTTGCGACGTTTCGCTAATTATTTTAGCTTCATCAGGCTCTGGAAACCAGAAACCAACAAATGAATAAATAAATAAATAAACCAGGCTATCAAACACATGTCCACACATAACCTCCAATAAAGTCATACAAATTACCAAAATTATATACTAGTCAACAACAGAACGAAGCTGAAGGCTTTGCTTGAGGATTCATCGGTGGTGAAGGTATCTAGTCAACAAGAGTCAGTAATACACAATTTTACATCCATTGAGTTACCTGAGCAAGTGAAACGTGTCTTATGTCTTGAGCCAAAGTTTGGTCTGGAGGTTAGTGGAAAATATGGGTAATATTACTTTGGACGGCCACTAATAGAGTGGTTGTAAATACATGTTTTTTGAAGGTTGTTTAAATGTTATTCTGTTTCTATTTTGTTATTTAAGTCATCTTTATTGATATTTCAATGAATTTACTCCCGGCCACCGCACTCAGTCATGCTTCCAGGACCGTGACGTGGACACGGCGGGGCATTGGTCCCAAAAATGTTTGGGAGTTAGTGCAATAACTTGCCAATAACCCCAAATTGCAATAAGAACCACCCTCGTGTAAGATGTATTTACAACTTCAGTAGTGTAACAATTTTTCCGATGAGATTATTTCGTAAACACCTCCTCCGTCCTTCTAACGGTAAATTTTAAATTAATTAAAATTTGTTGGAAAGGAACATTTATTCAATTCCATCTTCCATTACGACACACTTGTTGTTATTTATTTGTTACACATGAGATTGTATTTATAGCCTGTCAGATATTCGTTTTTTGGGTCGAATATTCATAAAAATTCAATAAAATTTAAATTATTTAAAATTTAAAAATTTGAATATTCAGTTTGTCTGCAAAATTATTTTAAATTGTCTAGTAAAATTCTAAATTGCACTGGCTCAATGGTAAATAGATGTTGGAGAAACTTTGCATTAATCTCTTCAGGTTTAAATAATTTCTTGAACACAAACTCTGCATAATATAGTGGATAATATTCTTTTTTTTACCTCCTCTTCGAGGAATTTCACTTTTTAAGTGGTTCCACATTGACCCAATATTTTGAGTGTGTGTATTGTCCTCTGGATCCACAAAATTGTATTTGTGGTTTACATATTTATGTACGTACCCATGGCTGGCGATACGTCTGTATACGGCCCAGCCATCTGTGTGTATGGTAGTACCCAGAAGTACATTATCCTTAATATGTCTTATGAGTGTGTCAGAAGTTCTATCGTCTATTACGAGACTAAATGTCTCTTTAGTACTCCTGTCTATCCCACCAAGGACCCAGTACCCTTCCTCACTATTAATTGAATTCTCCCCTGGACCAAACCTAGTTTCATCAACTTCTACTAGCTGGTTGAGGCCCCCCCGTTTTCTTTTATTTTTATCTATATATACTTTACAAATTAACCTGAATATTTTATTCAGATTGACTATCGATTTCTCTGATAGTCTTAGCTCTCTAGCAAGAAACTTCTGTGTTGTGCTGAGCATGAGTTTAAATGCAAAAAATTTGAAAACATCTGTAATTTTTATTTTAATAAAATCGAAAATTGTATTGTAGTAAACTTTTATTTTAAAATTCCAATTTATGCGATCGTTATTATTATTGTGCTCTCTATTTGACAAAACAGCAGACGCATCTGAAGTACAAACTGTCTAGGTTTAACCTCAAATCAGACTCACATGTGGGACATTTTAATTTATCAGTCAAGATGTTGTATTTTATCATTAATGTAATCAAAGTTTTTTCTAAGTTTGAAGCTACTAAAAATTCTGTGAAATTCATGTTTAAAATTTTTTTTTTTTTTGAGTTCTTACCTTATTTATGTAGAAATAATAGAAATTAAGCAGAAGCAGAAAAAGAACATGTGCACATGCAGAAGTCCAAGCGTAGAGAGAGCTGCACGCATGCGCAGCGAAGCCTTTAGGTGGGGTGTTGTAGATAGCCCACAGACATATATCGGGTGTCATTTTTTGTTGGTATTAGCTCATGGAAGGTGTGAAAAGAGTTCAAAATGATTAGTTTGTTGAATTAAAATCCTTCCAAAAAAACCATTGTCATTGGCCGCTGAAAGTAATATAACCCGAAAATATTTACCCATTCCTAAGATAATAAAGGACATAGAGCTCTGTATCTAAGGTATGACAGTCAAGGATGCAGATGCTGAAAGTCAAGAAGAGGCGAAGAGTAACGTCAGATCGCAAGCGGTAAATATTATCACTAATTTTCAGAGGAGACTCTATGTGAGGAAGAAAGACCAGCTAATGGTGGACGTTAATGCCACGAAACAGTTTTTATGTCATAGGTGCCCAGAATCACGCGATTCTAACCTCGCTTCGCTCGGTAGAATCGCGGATTCTGAGCCCTATGACATAAAATAGTACATGAAACTCGTGCGTAATATACTATTATAGCGCAACGATTAGGTGATATTGGCTAGAACGGACAAAGGTGGCGCTACTCTCCTCATGTACAAAGAAGAATACTTGAGAGTCATGAAAGAGATATTCAGTGACCAGACCATTAGTTTGTTGAATTAAAATCCTTCCAAAAAAACCATTGTCATTGGCCGCTGAAAGTAATATAACCCGAAAATATTTACCCATTCCTAAGATAATAAAGGACATAGAGCTCTGTATCTAAGGTATGACAGTCAAGGATGCAGATGCTGAAAGTCACGAAGAGGCGAAGAGTAACATCAGATCGCAAGCGGTAAATATTATCACTAATTTTCAGAGGAAACTCTATGTGAGGAAGAAAGACCAGCTAATGGTGGACGTTAATGCCACGAAACAGTTTTTATGTCATAGGTGCCCAGAATCACGCGATTCTAACCTCGCTTCGCTCGGTAGAATCGCGGATTCTGAGCCCTATGACATAAAATAGTACATGAAACTCGTGCGTAATATACTATTATAGCGCAACGATTAGGTGATATTGGCTAGAACGGACAAAGGTGGCGCTACTCTCCTCATGTACAAAGAAGAATACTTGAGAGTCATGAAAGAGATATTCAGTGACCAGACCACATATCGGAAAATCAACCGGGATCCAACATCTAGGTTCCAGGCTAGCGCAAATGCCCTAGTGGAAAGGTTGGAAAAAGAAGGAGTAGTTGATGATATGAAGGCCAAGTTACTGAAAACTCATAATTCGGTGATCCCGAAGATGTATGGACTTCGGAAAGTCCACAAAGACGGATGTAAATTACGACCGGTAGTCAGTTACTTGAAGTTGCCAAGTTACCAAGTGACAAGGCTTCTTCATGCCCTGCTAGCGAAGGTAAACAAGTCGTCGAAGTTCAACATTAAGAACCCTCAAGAATTCGTCATGTTTGCTCAAGATGTGGTATTACCGGAAGGATATGTCCTCATCTCGTTGGATGTGGTGTCACTCTTTACGAACATCCCGAAGAGTCTAGTCCTAGAAATTGTTGAGCAGAACTGGGAGAAGTGGGAGGTATTAATCCCAGCGTCAAAGAGGATGATTTTGGATCTCATCATATTCTGCTTTGAAGCTAGCTATTTTTCTTTTAATGATGAAATCTACAGCCAAATAGATGGCAGTAGTATGGGTAATCCAGCTAGTCCCATATTAGCTAGTTTTGTGATGGATTACATTGTCTCCCGAGTTCTGGAGGACCTGCCATTCAGCATCCCATGGATTAAGATCTACGTGGATGACACGGTTCTCGTGGCTCCTAGGGATCAAGTTGCTAACGTCCAAAGAAGATTCAACCAGGTTTATGAGCGTATCCAGTTCACTGTAGAGGAAGAAGTAGAGAACTCGTTGTGCTTCTTGGATCTGAAGGTTGTTCGTCAGCTGGATGGTAAGTTGTTGACTTGTTGGTATCAGAAGCCTACAAGCTCTGGTAGGGTCATCAACTTTAGTTCTAACCATCCAACTTCACAAAAGATCGGTGTCGTTGTCGGGCTTCTTCATCGGGCGATTGGCTTGAGCCATGAGAAATTCCATGAGGATAACTTGGCGAGAGTGAGAAAAATCTTGAGGAACAACCACTACCCGGATAGGTTTATTTCTCGGTGTGTCACCAGGTTTCAGGACAGACATCTGGCACGGCCGGATATTGAATCGGAACATCGGCGGGTTTTCGGATTTTCACTCATTAGAGGGCTTTCTCAACAGCTCAATCGTTGTCTGAGAAATACAGATTCCAGGTTAGCGGGGTATAATCTGAGGAAAATGGGAGATCTATACACGAGATTGAAGGATGACACACCGGCCATGAGTAGATCGGAATTAATTTACAAAATTCCTTGTGAATGTTCCCTCTGCTATGTTGGCCAGACAATTGCGCAACCATTAAAATCCTCAATGAGGAGAAAACAGCATTGGCGTCCAACCACTTTCGGACTGGACATCGATTTTTGTTTGATGAGACGTCTATCTTAGACAACGAAGCGGACTGGAAGAAACGGAATATTGCGGAGATGATCCACATATTCCTGAATGACACAGTCAATAAGAGGGAGGATACCTTGGGACTCAGCACGATGTACCGCAACACTCTGAGCAGATTTAAACGAGAGCGTCGATAATGGGGATCTCTCCGAGCCTCACCTGTAGAGGTGGGTCCGTGAGGTGGCGCCATCTCCCGAGATTTTGCGAGATGTTGTTGGTGTAATCTCTAAGGGGAGACTGCTCGAGTGTTGACATTAACGTCTTTTCTGTTGTTTACATTTTTAATAAACGCTATTAGCTATGTCTTCATACATAACTGGTTTATTTATTAACCGGACTAAAACATTAATCGAGTCATGGTATGTTTTGACTAGTATATAATTTTGATAATTTGTATGACTCTATTGGAGGGTATGTGTGGACATGTGTTTGACAGTCAGGTTTATTTATTTATTCGTTTGTTTGTTTCTGGTTTCCAGAGCCTGATGAAGCTAAAATAATTAGCGAAACGTCGCAAAATGACAATTTGATAAATGTTGTTTTCATTTTCTCCAACTTCCCTTGATACTTTATGAACAAATGAATAATGTCTCTCATTACAACAAGAAAAAACAAAAAGTTGAAAAGCCATCGAATTTTACTAAGAATTAAGTGTACACACGATCTAAACAATTATTTTTTAGGAGGATCACGGCCAGTAAGTGGGAAAATCACTGTTTGAATCAAACAGAAGGAAGATTGCTACTTTTGAAATGAAACCAGCCTGAGTGAAAATTGTAAATCACTGACGAAATAAAGTGACGCATGACTTCTCCGTTTGCTCTGTTCTTTTTTTGTTTCCATTTTCTAAATGTGAAATTATATTCATTTAATACTCTGATTATATCAACCAACAATATCAATTGAGAGCATTATTAAGCAAGTAAAGCATTCGCACGTACAAAAATGTTCATGGCCGTGGCCATGGTCTTTTGACCGCTTGCCACGGCCTTTGACCTTTGTGCCCCTGCGGCCCCCTGGGACCTTGAAGGTCATAAGGGCCATAAGGGTCACAAGGTGCAACAAGGTTTGTACGTGTCCGCGGTAAATATTTCAAGTCAATTAGTAAAGACTAATACATAGAAGGAGCACCTAGAAGCTTATGATGAATGTTTCAATTTCATTATATATAATGAAAAGTCCTTCAAATGTCAGCTCAGCATCAGGCAAAACTATAAATGAGGAGGTCAATCGAATGAAAATGAAACTATTATAAGTCATGAAGTTACGTATCACCAACGGAATTATCAATCAAAGTCATTAAAATATTAATTACATAAAGAAGATACATGGTCTGTGCTAGTAAGGGTGAAAAAGCAGCGTAATATATTATTGCAGAAAAAACACAAACGACTGCCATCGTTTTCAATAAAACGTTCGCCAAGTACGCACCTTGTTATTCATTCGCTGAAGAAACAATCCCACAAATTGAAAAGAAAAAAAAAAAAGAAAATCGGAAATGCCCCAAGTACTTATCAGAAACCTTCAATCGAAAATACAGATGAAAGGTCAAAAGTTTCGAAAACCGAACTATTTCGAGGATTTCTATCCTATATTGAGTCAGAAAAACAGAATAAATGTTGATCGCAACAATTTCCAAATTTAGAAAGAGAAAATTCACAAAAAAAAATCATTTGCCAAAATTGAACGGGAGAAAAGTACTTGGGGCACTCTTCATAAAGGAAGCTCTCCGAACACCCCAAGTACTTTTCTCCCGTTCATTTTGTCCAATCATTTTTGTTTGTGAATTTTCTCTTTCTCAATTTGGAAATTGTTGCGCTCAACATTTATTGTTTTTCCGACTCAATATAAGATAGAAATCCTCGAAGTAGTTTGGTTTTCGGTTTTATATATATATATATATATATATATATATATATATATATATATAT